ACACACACACACATACACATACACATACACATACACACACACACACACACACACACACACACACACACACACACACACACACACACACACACACACACACACACACACACACACACACACACACACACACACACACACACACACACACACACACACACACACACACACACACACACACACGCTCGCTCTCGCTTCTCTTCTTCCTCGTCAGTTTTTATTTGGATGTTAATTACACAAACTTTACAAAATACAGTGTATTTGCTTACATAATGTTGATTCAGCACATTTTTCTCATCTGATAAAACATATTACCTACAACCAAGAAAATTAAAAGAATAATCTGAAAATAAAATCCATTTTCACAAGAGAAGTACTTGTATCCCACAACACATATTGGGCTATTGTGGCATCCTTTTTTTATTTTACAATACATTAAAAAATATTCATTATATTGGAAATACTCTACTCTAACACTAATTTTATGGACTATTATTGATCAACTCATATATAATTTCTTGAGAAATACATGAAATAAAAAATTCAATTATAGAATAAATTCTAACCTGAAATCATTAATAAAATCTTGAATACAAATGCTTGCAATGTTATCATATTTGCATATTGGACCCTTATTATGGCTTACTATTCATATGTAAAAAATCCTATACCGTATTACCCAGTATCATCTGGTTATATAATTTATTTTTCTTTCCTTTTCTTTCTGTATATAATGTACTAACTTCACCTACACAAAAATTGTGAAACATTTTATACCTGTAATGACTTGCTCACTTAATAATACACTGTTAGACCTTCATATACTTTTTACATGCAGTCACTTAAAAATTGGTTGCATTCTTTTGAAGATTTAGACAGATATTTTGTAATCGAAAATATATTTTTTAAATGCTGAGTATATGAGAAAACTATTCAAAGCCCCAGTAACAATGAGAAACAGAAGAGGAAGTTTCCTTATATTTAACTTGAAACTCACAATGCTATTTCTCTAATTTTCAAATGCTTATTGATATGAATGATATACTGAATACTAAATCAAAGAGAAAACTATTATCATGTAGATGTTATATAAACATCAATCAATGTGTATTTTTGTATTAATTATGAAAGTAAATAAAGAAATCAGCATTAACCTTCTGAATCTATATCAGATATATGACATTTAAAGACTACAATGTCAACTAATAGATAAGTTATTTTAGACATTATTTTCAATGACCACATTCTTAATTATCACAAAAATTATTGCTCTTGTTAATAGTTTTTTTTCAAATTCCACTACATGTACAGAATAACTAAACTATTGCTTGTGTTAATGCTAGTTTTACTATTACTATCACCATTGCAACAATAAAACTATTACTAAAGATGATATTAGTATCAATATAAACAATGTTATTGGTAGTACAAATACTACTGTTACATTCAGTATCATTAATAACATACCCCTACTGTTAACACTACTGGTACTAAAGCTACTAATACTGCTAATACTACTGCTGCATTATCATTGTCTATCAAATTTCTTTTTTTCTTTATCTGGAATTAAAATTTGTATGACTCACTTCTCCCATTACTATTTTTTAAAGATGACATTATAATCATGGCTTCATCAAAAGATAAATAGAATGGTCTACCCACACAAAGATATTAGTATTGACTTTAGAAATAGTATAAAAAGGCTTTTGACCAACACAATAATTTTTGAATGCTAAAATATTCATTTGAAAATGACTACTTTCAGTTCTGACAGCAACCTTATTTGAGATTTTCTCTTTTCTACTTTTCTTTTTGTTTTGTACTTCTGTATACTTATTTCTGTACATACTTTGGACATTTTTTATTTAAATGATATTGTAATATGTAAGCACATCAACTGCATGAGTCTTACTGAAGTAAAATAAAAAAAACAGATTGATATTAGGTTCATACTAGAAATTTAGAAGCATTTTTTCTAAACTACTAAATATTAATATAAATAATACACTGAGTACCAATGTCATATATCATTTATTTACTTCTTACTCAAACATAAAATCCTCTCTCTCCATATTAAAACATCTTGTAGTGAAAAGTCACTGTTCTCTTTACATACAGATGTAACAGAGTAAAGCACACACTTCCAAAGATTAAAAAACAATAAAAGTCATAAATGGCTTTTTACCTGAAGATCCTCCAAGAAAATATGCACTAACATATTTCCATAAAAATAAACCTGTTAACAAAATTAACTCTAGTTTCTACAAAACCTCCTTTGTAGCTTCTCTGGAACCTTCATACCACAAAACTAGTTGAAATTCATCAGCTCTGGCACTTTACCGGACTTAATGATAGTTGTTCCCATAATACTCTTAACCCTGCCATGGGTTGCATGCAAAAGTGCTATTAATTGTTTATGTTAAAAATAAATCAAGCATAAAATGGGAAAGAAAAGTGATATATAAGTTTTAGAAAGGTGTTCAATATGATCTGCCCTTTGAAAATGAAATATTTTTTATTACTCATTTCTAATTAATGTTCCCAGTTATATATTCAATAATGCATCCAATATAGCAGCAGCAGCTCTCCATGAAAGGGTTAAAATTAACTTTCCTGCCATGCAGCAGACTATGCATCAGGTAAAACAATTTATAAAATAGTTATAAATTTTGGCAGAGTATATCATACAAATTATTATATACAGGTTATTTACTGCTCCCATTTATCTTTTTTACTTTTTTCCATGACAATTAAAGCCATAACTCAATGTTTACCCTCCCTTGTTCATAAAAAAATAACACATTTCCTTTTATTAAGACATTGCATAGATGTAGTCTATAACAAAAAAATATACAAAAGGCATATGCAGATCTAACATTTTACAATAAGAGGTGAAGCACAAAATACATTCACCTTACCCAGAAATGTGTACCTTTAATGCATCATGAAAACATGGATGAAAATGCAGCCTATATCTGTTGTAAAACTGACTATTGCTTTACACAGTGGTTAATTTCTTCTTGATCATAAAGATGTAGAAAATAACTGCAAAACAAAGCAAATCTGTAAAAGGAGCTATCTTTTACCGACATCCCTTAAAAGTTAAAATATCCTTTCTCCATTCACAAGCTTCCCACATAAAACTAAATGACATTCACAGGTATATAAGGCTTGTTAATACTCTAATAATAAATGGAAAATTTAGATATTAGGATATTAAAATCATATAACAACAGTGAGAAGGACCTGCACTTTGCATATAAAAGTACTAAGCTTCTTCCCTCAGACTTGAACTTGCATTTTTTTTATACAAAGCTGTAATATAACAAAATAAATGAATATGAATAGCACCCCTTCCAAGCTTGAAATGAACTTTTCTTACCTTTTCCTCCTATTACCTATTAAGTTTACTAACTTTGGTAAATCATTACCTAATGTTCACAGCCAATCAATATCATATCAATTTCATTCCAGAATTTCCATGTCTTTTTTATTCACTGACTTTATTATTATTTAATACTGAGGAGAACTAAGTGGTAACTTACACCTTAATTACCTTTGAAAGGTGCTTCTGCATTGTTCAACATTTAGTGGGAAAAAACTTGTTTCAATAGTTAAGCAGATTTCCTTTGTGCATCTAGATCTCCCTTTCATATATCCATTCTTGGTTCTACAATGACACTTAGATTCTAGGGGTAGCATGCATGGCTGGGGACTAAGGCAGTCAGCAAATGAGCAGGTATGGGTCAGAACCTTTTCACAGAGCCATCCTAGCCCTTTCAAGGGAGAACGAGATGCAAAACTGAATTGCTTATATCCTGGGCATGCAGAGCTTGGCTACTAAAATGCAATGAGTACTCAGTAATATCACACAATGAATGAATTTCAGTGAACTGTTACTGCAATGCCAACTCCCATTTTCTCATTATTTCCTTTTCTTTACAAGTCAAGTACTTTTTGGATGTTTCTAGGATAGAGGTGAATTTAGAGGTACCTGACCTATACCACAAAAAATAAGAAAGAGATATTGCTTGAAATCAACCATATACATATAATTTATGGCAGAGTCAGTCTTTGAAGTTTCTTTAGAGGTACAAGCAGTGAAAGGTATAAGACCTTAAACTGTTGACATTGGGTACATGCATTATCCACTCCAATTGTAATTTATTCATATTTATGGCTTCACAAGCACTTAGTCGCCAAGAAGGCCTATCTGATCAGACATTTTCTTTTTTATTCCTTCAATTTTCAGAAAATTTTGATTTTTTGGTGACAGAGCACTTCTGAAGCAATCTGTATGCAAACATAACTAGTAAAACAAAACCACAGTACATGCATACAAGCACTCTCAGTGTCAATGGGTAAAAATGTATTTGTTTTAGATTCTTTTTTAAATCCATTTCAAATGCCAGTTCTCAAAGCAGATATTAGTAATATATGGCACATCACTATTAGTTAAGCAACCACTTCCATCATACAAAAGGCCCATATACATGATAACCCTATTAACCTATAACCCTTTACCTATTCAACATGATAAAATTGGAAACTTATCTTTCCTCTTCTACAAATGACAGGATCAACAGAAAACTTTCACATGGTTTTCTAATTAATCATTCAAATATCCTTTTTAATACTGCATACATAATAACTGAATAGAACAGATCACCTTATCCATATGATAAAACCATTAATAATCATGCAAACCTCTTTAACCCCATGTCGCCAGGCATGGCACGTATGTACATACCATGCCCCATTGTGTGTGTTGAATTTAGTAATTGTTTTTACATATAGATGGCTCCACAAGTACTGTCACCAATGAGCCAATTACGTGAAATACCTGTCTCACCTGTTGACCCTTTTCCTTGATTTTTTATAATATTTTCTAGCATTCAATAGTGCTGTTAGTAATGTTAATAACAATACAGTAATTATAATGTTATAACAAAAATAAAAGTATCAATATTGACAGCATTATTAATAAAAAAAGCGTTTTCTCACTTTTTCAAGGAAAAGTGAGGTTGCAAGATCTACTAATTGAATCCTTTGTGGCTAAGCATTGGCAGAGCCATCTATGTGCAGAAACATTTAACCCAGCATTGCCAAAGGGAACGCACCTTTTTTCTGTCGACATTGGGTTAAAATAAATGTAAGGGATAGATGATACGACATTAACGTTGCTACATTAATAAAAATGATGATGGACACTTTACAAATCCTGTATTCAAAATATCCAGACAGATTATTAACAAGACACTTAACATACCTGAATAGTGTGAATTAAAAGACACAGCTTGGCAGGATAACATTACTCCTATGCTTGCACACTTTTAGTCACTTGATATCCACTCTATGATTCTTGATTAAACAAACTCACTCATGTTATTCAAATACGCACATCCTACTTCCCTCTTCTCAATCATCATTCATAACATACACTTTCGGCTGTGAAAAGATGCGCAGACCATCTTCAATCTGCATAAGTTTATCTTCTAAATCCTGTCTCCTTTTCTTCACCCTAAGTGTGTCTTGGGCCACAGGCAAGGAGGAGAGCTCTCGCATTACCTCTGCTTGACCTTGAAAAAGAATTATCAGTTAGAATAGCTTCCTGCATCACACAGTTATCATTCAAACATCCAGAATTCTCAACGTTAAAATTGCATACTACATAGGGGATCTAATGTTCTTAAAATGTGAACATTCATCATCAAAAGGAGAAAACAAAGTATACTTAAGGAAACCATCTATATATCATCCAGGATTAAAGATAATGAAGTCTGTCAAAAGATTTAAGAAAACAACACTTTTCCCCTAGAAATCAACACAATATTCTTCACAGTTTTAAAAATTTGCAATCAATACTGAAACAAGGAACCAACTCACTCTTGCGTAGGAGATGGAGGGTGTTGCGCCGCTCATGGTCAGGAAGTGGAGCATGGCCAGGCGGACACTCGGGGTCAACTGACCGAGCAATCTCTGCTAACCTCTTCTCCTCCTCTTTTCGGGCTAAGAGATATCTGTAGAAGAAAAGTTTAGGGGTGAGGAAACTTGTTCACTTTCAAAATATGTTCTGCATTTAATTTCCATAATTCTCTCACTAGATGTGTGGATACATAGAAATGGTGGGGAAAAGGAAAATAGGGATAACAGAGAGAGTAACAAAGGAGGAAAAATAAATATGATATGGCAAAACACTAAGAAAGTGTTATCAAGAAAAAGGCAAATATTCACAATGCTCTTGTAATCCCAGTAATGAAAAATTTGAGATCTCACAGGAAAATACTTGAAAGTATACTCTCATACAATCATCAAGTAGTATGATTAAAACATTAAATCAGAAAATTTACTTGGGCAATTTCCCTCTCTTGTAACTTGAGGGAGGCTCTCCTTGGCGCTGGCGAATATTCTTCATGGACTGAGATCTTCTTAAAGTTGATGGACTTGAGGGCTGGCCATGCTGCTCTCTTTTCTGCTGGCATGAAAGTTAAGCAAATACTCACAATTACAAGTATATCAATATGTCTTTAAGAAAATAGGCAATATAAAGTATAGAAAAGTAATCCTCACAACAAAAAACTAACTGGCAATTAACCATCCAATGGTTCACAGGCATGTTTGTTCCAATTTCTCACCTTCAGAAGCTTTGGTATAGAACTAACGCTAGGCAAATCTTGGGGCTCATTTGGCACTGGCGTGGAAGATTTGGCTTCCTCCTTTGGAAACACAGCTTCACTCACATGTTCACTCTCAACTATGTCATTGTAAGGTTTCAGGTATACCTCTGGATGAAATTCATGGGTAGACTCTTCCATCTGACTACTTGGGTTGTTGTTTTGTATCCTCATATCACCATCAACTTGGCTGTCAGGTCGCAAGTCTAGGTGGAGATTCTCCATTGCAGAATTGCAAGACACAGATTGGTCTGGTTCACTGATGTTGAAGTTGCAGTCTGATGTCATGGTTGAATTGAGGTTCAGCTCACCGCTTGAAGCTGTTCTGTTGAGTATTGCACTTGTGGCTGCAGACTTGACTCTTGATTCATTTTCTAAGTACTGGCTAATAAGATCTGAACTATTATCTAATGGTGGCACCTCACTTGCACCATCAGTGGAAGCTTCAAATATTCTAGGTGACTCTAAGTTGCTTTTGCTTCGCTGAATGCTTTGAACACTTGACAAAACACGGCTTGGTGGAGACTGTTCTAAATGCCTGACACTGTAATTAGCAGATTCACTTCTCATTTTGCTTGGGCTGCCACTACGACTCTGACTACTCTGCCCTGAAGCTGAGGATGGGGCAGCATGGGACAGATTACCAATGGATTTTGAGAAGCGTTTCTTCAGTTGTGGAGATGGTGAGCTGACTGCCCTCTGATCTGACTTTGTGGAAGATTTTGCTGACTTTTCTGTTTGTCCCCCCGCCACACTTTTCCTAGAAAGGGCATCTCTATCAAAACTACGAGCACGCACCAATTTTGATGTTTTGGAACCACTTCCTGCAGTGTTCAAGGCTGTTCTTGTTGCAGATCTTTGTGTGTCTGTACCATTACTTCCCTCACCATAGCCATAAAGACTAAGCATATCTGAGTTATCAAGCAATAATTTGTGCTGATTTTCTATATTTCTGTAATGTGTATTGTAGTCCAGCTCACATGCTGGCTTTTGGTTCCTTATCTTTGAGAGCAAATTATCCATCCGCATCTTCCTCATTCCATAGTTCAACTCACATCCTGAAAGGAGTTCCAACCCAGTCCCAGAATTCTGACGATGGGCTGCACTGACAGGGCGTGGAGAAACAGGGGCATGTCGAGTTGATGAGATGGGCCTCAGCATCACAGGACTCCCTGATCTTGCCAGTCTTGGTGGGGCATCCCTCAGTAGTGACTGGTTGGTGGGCATTGGAAGTGACTGGGACAGGGCACTTGAACTTCTGCTTTGATGCCCAAAACCATTTTCCTGTATATGTCTCCCGTTTCCTCTCTCACTGCGGTCTGGTAGATGCACACCATTGTGGAGACGGGCACTGAGCTGTGCTGCTGCATTCTCAATCTGGTCATCAGTTAGTGAGAAGTAGTCTGAATGTGCACTTCCCTCGCACTCTGAACTTGGGCTTCGTCTTCCGAGCTTTGCTGAACCATTACGGATTGGGGCTAAGCAGTCCACCTGATAAAAATGGAGTGTTACTTGACAGATAAATTCGATCAATCATATTTGATAAACTCATTTTAATAAGCATGCATGCTTTTTTTCAAGATGCACAAAATGAAACATCAAATGGTTAGCCTTACAAATAAGCTAAGAACAAACATAAAATCTGAATACCAATAATGAATATACATCAACCATTATCAAAACAAAATTATTTATAAACAAACTCAATCCATGTATCAGTATTATTGTGTAAAAGAAAGAACTTTCACAAGACTCTTTTACCTGTTTTATCGAAGAAGTAGTACTTGCAGAGCTCTCTCTTGTCGCCCTTAGAGGCTGCGGTTTTCTGCTATTTTCCCTATCTCTACACCTTGCTTGTATCTCATGGAGCCTTCTCACATTGTCTTGCAAGAAATCACGTTGGTTCCGACCTGTTTATAAAGTACAGTGAATGCTAAGGTGACATTTAGTGTTATGGATTATCTGAAAAATCATGCTATACAATGCATATGACCTTCATGTATTATGAATAATAATAAGAGACAATGATAACAACCAGAAAAATAAAATTATTACAAAAAGAAAAGGAGATGATGATGATAAAATTATTATCTTTTTTTTTTATTATTATTATCATTAATCATTATATATAATAATAATAATAATAATAATAATAATAATAATAATAATAATAATAATAATAATAATAATAATAATAATATAATAATAATATAATAATAATAATAATAATAATAATAAATAATGATAATGATAATGATAATGATAATGATAATGATGATAATAATAATAATAAAAATAATAATAATAATAATAATAAATAATAATAATAATAATAATAATAATAATAATAATAAATAATAAATAATAAATAATAATAAATATAATAATAATATTAATGATAAATGAATGAAATGATAATGATAAATAATAATAATAAATTATATATCATCATCATCATCATCATCATCATCATCATCATCATCATCATCATCATCATCATCATCATCATCATCATCATCATCATCATCATCATCATCATCATCATCATCATCATCATCATCATCATCATCATCATATCATTCATTGTGCATCATTATATATATGATAATAATAATAATAATAATAATAATAATAATAATAATAATAATAATAATAATAATAATAACAACAACAAACAACATCAACAACAACAACACAACAACAACAACAACAACAACAACAACAACAATAATAATATAATAAAGAAGAAAGAAGAGAAGAAGAAGAACAATAATAATATAGCAATGATGATGATGATGATGATGATGATGATGATGAGATGATGATGATGATGATGATGATGATGATGATGATGATGATGATGATGATGATGATGACAATGATAATAATAATAGATGATGATGATGATGATGATGATGATGATGATGATGATGAATGATGATGATGATGATGATGATGATGATGATGATGATGATGATGATGATGATGATGATGATGATGATGATGATGATGATGATGATGATGATGATGATGATATTGATATTGATATTGATATTGATATTGATATTGATATATAAATATCAATATCAATATTAATAATAATAATGGTAACAATAATAATGATAATAATAATAATAATAATAATAATAATAATAATAAAAAAATAAATAAAAATAAAATAATAATAATAATAATAATAAAGATAATAAAGATAATAAAAAAATAATAATGATAATAATCATAATAATAATCATAATAATAAGAAGAAGAAGAACCATCATAATATTAAAATATATAATAAACATAATCATAACCTTAGCAATCATAGCCACAACACTTATGCAATAACATGAATGACAACTATACTGAAATAATACAAATGAAAATAGTTATTACAATAGTGATAATAAAAGAACAAATAAAAACCTACTACGTTCTGTCGGATGCACTGTGATGCCCTGGAGCCCAATAGTAAGTGATCCCTGATGTCGCTCTCTGATCTGACGTCCCTCGGGTGACAGGCCGCGGCGCTTGGCTGGCAAATTCATTCTACCTCTTCATGATACCGTGTACTAACTGAAAAACAGGAAAAGATTGTCAACAGGAAAGGCATTGGTGATTTTCTTAGACTGTAGATGTACGGGTGTGCTTGGGAAGAAATTATGATAATCTACATAATACAGGAAGGTAATCATCCA